CTTCTTTTAATCAATTGCTTCCTGGGACACGCATGTTCGCTTGTGTTGGCAATTTATTTGGGCGCGATGCACTTAGATCGGCCCGACGATGGGAAAATTTACCCTTCATGAGGCCTCAACCTATTAGCAGATCCGCGGCAATAATTTTCTTTTTACAACGATCACATTTTCTCCTTCTGAACCGCTTCTATGAACTCGCCTATTCAGTTCTGTCTGCAGAAATTTGTCCTGTGTTGGGAATTGTAGCCGTCGCTGTCATCATCTCCTCTTCGAAAAGAATAAGATGGCGCATAACTGGTAAGACGCAACTCCTCCCACCTACCAAAGATAATGGCAGAAATGGCCATTCCGGGGTCCTCTGCTACTGAAATCTCTTTCCCGTTCCTCATAGATGCTGGGTCATGATAGTCAAGAATGGGGGACGCAGGTGACTGAGGCACTCTACACCTAGACCCCGCAAGTGTGGCATTTGCTATAGGTGCGACTGGCATGCCCTGATCTAACATCCCTGCTGGTCCAGCGCATCTTGTATGTGACCCTTTAAGCCCCCCCCCACTCCCGCAACATGTCAACTGGGGTGATGCGAGTGTGGTAATGAGAGCGCTGTGCGATTCCCAGTTGAATTTAGTTCCGATGCCTTGGGGCGGACTATCACCTTTTTATCAGACGGTCAACAGTATAGAAAAGGTAATAACGTCTGTGCAACATCCGGTTTCTAAATTGCTGTTTGCTGTAGATTCTCGTCTTTAAGAGCAAACGGAAATGCCCAGTGTCGTCCTACGATCAGGATGGATTGTCGAAGCTGCTCGTTTGTGCGTTTTTCATTTTTTATCCTTATGATGGCAAGCCTATACTGTACATCGGAAACAGTCCTGTAGTTACCGGTGCTTTTTTCTGAGATAAAGTCTCTCTTTTGATCTAACCACACTGTGGATGCAGACTTCCGAACGGATACATAAGGAAGGGTTAGATGGTGGTAAAAAGACTGATTGTCAGCGGGAAGTGGTGGGTAGGTGGGGCGTAAGACGTCGTAGTCGTAAATATGGGGCGCTGGATACAGCAAGGTGAGCGGTTTGGCAACTAAGTTGCGGGAGTGATGTGGTTGAAGTCGCGCACAAGTTGCTAGTAGGTAGGACTGAGTCAACGCAGAACTCACCTCATTCGGGTCAAATAGCTTGAGGCGCTTCAGCAGACGAACAACCTTTTGTTTGATTTGCTGAAGGACAAACACAAAAAATAACAGTGAGACGTGAAAAAGAGTTGGGGAGAGGCCAGCTTGGTGGCGTAGTGAAATGCACTCAGTGATGCCTTTAAAAAAACTCAAAGGTTAACAAAGTTAGCTGCAACTTGCATAATAAAATGATATTTCAGGAAAACACAAAAACGAGCGGCAGGGTAAGCCAACGTCTGCGTGCATTGTTATGCTGTCTGTTTCCCGGAATATCGCCGATGAACATCAAACGTTCGCGCTTGTAATAGCACAAGCATTTGCCTAAAACTGAACAACAGGCTATCCAATAATAGATAGTAAACGTAGAGTCTAAATTTTGACCGGATCTACTCCATCTTTTGTCTGAAATATACTGTAAAGTACCAAGGTATCCACAAGAGATAACAATCCGGAGGTCGGTAGTGAAACACCTACAGCTGGAGGAAATCTTATTCTATTCAGGCCACTATAAGGCAGTGCAGAATTTTGTCGTAAAAGACGAACATCTACGACGTCAAGCCTTTAGCGAGGGCTGGATTGTGGTAGCGATGGGAA